GGAACCACAAATGAGAAGAACTTGATATTGATAACGAGCTGCCCCGGGAGCTGTGTGTCTGACTGTTTTCATCGGGGACCCCGGCCAGAACAAACAGAAATGCAGCCCCACCCGGCAGGTGCTGCAAGCTCCGGGCCCCCGCCACACCTTCCCGCCTCTCCACCACCCCGAGACTATGCCGTCCCATCGGGGTCAGGGGAGCAGATGGAGCCCCTGTGGTTGTGTCTCTCTTCCTGGAGTCTCCCACAAACGCGGGCAGGCAGGTAACCATCAGGTGTGAAACACGACAGAGAAGGGAGGGCTCTGGGGCAAACCGGCTGGCCCAGCATCAGGCATGTACTTCTAAACTGCCTCGAATAAAAACCTGCAGGTAAAGATTCCGACCCATGCTGCCCTTCTCCTGTAGCTTCTTTGATGAACGACAAAGTGCTTCTGTGTGCGTATGAAATGTTAGACCACTGTCCGCCCATGGCAAGCCACTAGCCTAATCCACAGCCGTATTCAGGGAGGCTTTTGGAACACAATGCTTTCTGGTAAGGAGCCCACACGTGTATTTCCCACTGGCTGGGTAGGGGCAAGGAGCCCTGGTGGCGTAGTGGGTTATGAGTTAGGCTGCTGAGCACAAGGGCGGCAGTTCAAAGCCACCAGCCACTCTGCAGGAGAAAGACAAGGCTTTCTACTCCAGCCATGCTTTCTACTCCAGCCATCAAAACGTACAGTCTTAGAAACCCAGAGGAGCCGTTCCACTCTGTCCTACGGGGTCACTGCGAGTCGTAATTGCCCCACAGCAGGGAGTTGGGCGTGTTTTGGGTAGAGAACACTGTAAATAAGCAGCTTTGGAAGATGAATTAGAAGCCCAATAAGAAGACAATTTGACATCTCCTGCACCTCTACCACATTTCAAGACACAACAATTACACAAGGTAAAAAGTGCCTAAAATTTCCGTTATACACTGCAGGAAAGAAAAGGAGCCAGGGACCACTTTCTTGAGTCATTAAAGACTATGGAATCCTATCAATCCCAAGAGAACTGCATTCTTACTTTACAAAAGTTATGCTCAGTTAGGCCTTCAGTAAGAAAAGAACGATCTATAGATAAGATAGGGGGATAAACAATCCAGAGGAGAAGGCAATGGGACTGACAGTGGGGGTGCATATGTTGTTTTACAGGAGGGACAGACAGGGGTGGGAGCCCGGGACTGCAGATACCTGCTCTTGTTCGGGATCAAGCCTTTCTCCAACTCGTTTCCGATCCTCACCGCCAGCCAGTGGCCCAGCTTCCCGTCGTAGAGCGTGTCCACCACTCGGAAGACCTCGCCCCTGGTGAAGGCCAGGCTCTGAGGGGTTTCCTTCTCGCACTCGAAGTGACTTCTTATAAAGAACGAATCCCCTCGGCCACAAGCCAGGATGTCTCGATACACTGCAAGACGGCACGGGGGACTGCATCAGGCTGCCCTCGGTCCAGGCTGTCCGCATCTCCGGACTCCTCCCTTCCCTTCCCTTCCCTCCCCGCAGGCCCTCGGGGCCCTGGCTCACATAGGAAGGATTTGGGGTGATGATGGCACATGATTGATGTCCCCGATTTCATGGGGTTGTACAAATGGGAAATGGGAATCCAACACCAAAGGAGGGGGTGCGGTGTGGTCGGGGTGGCAGTGGGGAGGGACAAAAGAGTTCCCAACCAGCCTTCTGAAGCAGAAGTCAGGGAAGACAGTATCAACTCCCCTCTCACAGATAGAAACAATGAGGCTTGGAAAGGCTGAACAAGTTGTCGGACTACTGAGGGCTGACATTCCCAAACTCAGTTCCAGGCAGGGCGGCTTTCAAACACGCCACTGTTCACAGGAGCGGTTTTATTCCCAACGGACTCTCCTTGCGACGTAGGGTGCACGGGAAACACTTGCATTCTGAGTTTAACGGGCCCCAAATTCTCTCCACACCCCCATGAGCCCATGTCACGATCAACTCTGATACTTGTTCACCCTTGCACCGGGTGAAGGTCATCCGAGCAGATCATCCATTTCAGATTCAATGATTTCTACACGTTGTGCTTCGTCTGATTCACTGCGGTCCCCTCAATACACATCAGCCCACCTCTTCCCTGTGTCCCCTGCCCCCCACCCTCCTCCTCCTCTCCTAACCCTTCTGAACGTTTCCTTGGGCAAATGCTGCCCCGACCTCAAGAGGTTGGTGAGTCTAAGGTGTGCACGCCTCACTCGTGTGACTGTTCCCTTTGAAGACCTGTCTGCTGTTTGGTTGATTTTTTTAAAAAAACATTTTACTGGGGGCTCGTACAGCTCTTATCACAAGGCTGGTTGTTTTTTTTTAACACCCAGATGTTTTTCTTCTGGTCCCAAGACAGTAGGCTTGGTGGCAGAGTGCATCATGTGTTCAGCTGCTGACCACAAAGTCAGTGGTTCAAAGCCACCATCCGCTCTGAAGGAAAAAGAGAAGGCTTTCTGCTTCCAAAAAGAGCTAGTTTCAGACACCCACAGGGGCAG